GTGTTGATTTTGGATGACTCCTGCACTGTTCTTTCCAAATTCCCCAGGTGTGAAAAGTTGAACAGGTTTTAAATTAACAAATATCAGCCAAATATCTTAGGGCTGAAAAGTTAAGTGGATGCATATATTGAGAGCATTTCTCTACTGGGATGGATAATATTCTAATGAGGCATTTTAAAAGAGCAAATGTAAAACTCTGTCAGAGTAGCCTTGATATGAAGGCTTACCATGTGAATGCCATTATAGAAATGAGCAGACGTTAACAACTGCTATTTGAACAATTCTGTAGGCATTATATAGTAATGGGACAGGCAAGAAGAGTAGTTGCCTCTTCATTAAAAAGGATTATTCTTTTTTCTTGTAATCATTGAGCCCCGGGCTTGTTTCTGCTGCTGTTGCTAAGGACAATAGCCTGCCAGATAGGAAATGATGTTGATGAAGATATAAAATAACACTTACACACGTATTTTACTCAAAAATCGAGAGAATTGGGAATAGTGGGTGTTAGGAGGGGGGTGGGAGTAAGGAAGGGGAAGGAAAACAAACAAGGGAATACATAAGGGTGAAAAAATATACTATATAATAATTAATTCACATTGTGAAATTTCAGCTGGCTCACTTTCAAACTAACAATTATTTCATTGTCCTAGGTCCTTTCTCCCCCTACCTCTTTTTTTTTTTTAGAGTTAGACTCCTATGAATTATCTCTGCCAAAACTTATCCAAAGTTAAAACCATAAGCATAAAAAGTACAATAAGCAAAAATGTGCATATAAATTATTCTTTTTCATTCCAAACAGTTGGTATCTGAAAAAGATACAGTTTTGTATAGAGGCAGATCAGCCATCAGCAACTATCTTTCTTTTCATTGTTATTGTAAAACTTGGGGTTATCATCCGAGAAGTACTGCAAATGGGGTATAAGTATAAAGTTGCTCCTGGTTTAAAAACCTACCTACTTACCTACCTATCTACCTATCTGGAACTGACTTCCTTCATAGGAGACTGTCATTACAGGATCAGTGACCTCAACAACAGTGCATGACTCAAAGAATCAAGGCACATACATGGTTCTTTAGAAAGGCAACTGCTCCCAGCAGCAGCAGACTAGTTTTGCCAAGTGATTCTTCCTAAGAACTTTCCCAGAAAAAGAAAAAAAAAATTGATAGATTCTCTTTGTAATTACTCCAAAGAAGTGTTTAGTGATCTCTCTCCCTTTAAAATCTCTTAAATACTCCAATTAAGAAGCTACCCTAAAACAAGATTACACTGTATAGCACAGGGAAATATACACAAAATGTTATGATAACTCACAGAGAAAAAAATATGACAATGAGTGTGTATATGTCCATGAATGACTGAAAAATTGTGCTGAACACTGGAATTTGACACAACATTGTAAAATGGTTATAAATCAATAAAAAATGTTAAAAAAAAAGAAGCTGCCCTAATCTCCTTGCATGAACTACTAGAATTTAGGGTTTTTAAAAAAATGTATCATCATCTCTCCCTACAGTTTAAACAAAAGAGAAGTTAAATTTCTTATTCAAATTAAAGAAACCACATGACTAACTGAGAAAGAAAGTATATTGTAATGGAGAAAAGCCAAGAATTAGAAAGATCTAGGTTTCAATCTTAGCACAGGCATTTATGTAAGTTTTCTGTTGATTCTTTGGGGTAAAGATTTTACCTCTAGGGAGCTAAATTGATGAGACATGTGAAAATACTTCGTTAGCTATGAAGCACTACATATCTTACTAATAATTTTATAATAAAATCCATGAGTAGACAGACATTATTCATATATACCCCTAAATTTGTTAGAGAAGGAAACAGTTCTTCCTTAACTAAAAAGCTTCCTCCACAAAACAGCAATTTGCAATATTATTGTTAGTTGATTTACAGTAATTTGCTTCCCTAGTTTTAATTTTGTATCTTGGTGATGAAGTTTTAGTTTTCACACCACTGCACAGCACTTAGAACCAGCACTTGTATCACAATTTATGTAGCTAAAACACAGCTAATATTGCACACTTTGATCATTTTTTTGTACACGTTGATATTTTTTATATTTTTAAAGGTACAACATGTAATTTCCCTAGAAAATTGAGGAAGTATACTCATGTCCTTTTAATGTCCCTGTTATAATCAATAGTAAGGTGCTCCTCTACCCATCAATAATTTGAAAATAGGATTGCTTTTACTTAGGTTAAACTAACATACAATAATTAGAAGTACTGTTTTCCTAGCCTAAGACAATTGTAAAACTATTTGAAACTTTATCAATAATATTAAACCAGTGAAAGGGCATCAATAAACCAGCACATAAATATCTAAAACATGGATTTCAGTGAGGGTGCAGGGAGGGAAGAAAAGCTTCGGTACAAACCATCTCTAGTAAGAGAAGAGATACTACATCCGGTATAAAGGAACAATCAGGTCTATTTAAAGACAGGGCCTCTATAAAATATTCCTTAAGAAACTCTTTATTTTATATACACCAAGTAAGCTTCTGAATAAGAATTCACCTTCTTAGGAAATGTGATACCAGGAAAGGAGACAGAAGAGAATAAGAATGCTAGTTTCTGGAAAGAAACATCCCATTCATAAATTATTAACATAATATACATCTTCACAACTAAACAAGGTAAGTTCCATTACTATTACCATCTTACAGATGAGGGAAGTAGGTATACAGAGGCTAAACAGTTGACCAAGAGCATACATGCCTTTAATTTGGAGAGCTAGAGTCAAAACTGGGTAATCTGGCTTCAAAACCAATCCTACTAATCTCTATGTATTTCTTAGCATCTCTGAGAGTCATTTACACATGCAGGTTTTTGGACCCACAAGCTAAGACCCAGAGTGGGACCTCGTTAAACTCACTAACATTCTAGGCCCTATACATACCCTTTATCTTGCTGACATGCTTATTAAATTTGAATGTTCGGTAAATGGTATAAATGAGAATTTACATATTTTTTTAAAGTAACAATAAATTCTTTGTTTGGTGGGCACTTAATGTTCTTGTACTGTACTTAATGTTCTTCACAGAAACAAGGCAGGAAAAAAATTTCCAATTCTATATAAAAATTAACATGTACTGAAAATTACTCATCTCATAAGAATAATACACATGGAATTTCTATATATAAGAAAAATTAGTAATGTCAACATTCCTTGTAAGATAGTGAGCCAACGTTGCATAAGAAAGTTATCTTGGGGGAAGGTCAGCTTTTTCTGCTGGTTTAGTTTGCAACACATAAATAGATGAACACATAAGTAGATGTTGAGAGACACCAGCTGTTTAGTCTGTGACCTAACACCATCTCCTACTGCCGAAATCCTTAAAGGGCTGGATACCAGTTAGAAGCCAGAACAGTTATGTCCAATTCACTAACAATGCCATTATTTTTTGTTGATACTGTAAGAGCTCTCTCATCCCAGAAATACAAATAAAATAGAATTAAGTTTTCTGTAGAAATAACGACTGAATGAGGCTAAGTGGATAATTTGATTAATGCTTTTATGTAACTTGAAAAACTGGGAATAAATATTTCAACTATTTAAATAGTTGAAATAGTCTATAGATTATATTATAATTATTTGTAGAAACTAAATATAATTGGGAAAAAATCAGAAAGTATAGCCTCACAAAGACTGCCAGAGTTTTTATTCCCAGAAGTATAACATATCTTGAGTACAAAATAATTTTTGAGATTTATTTGTGTTCAGTTATGAACAGATGTTAATGATGCTCTGTTAATATTCAGTTTTTCATAAATAAAATAAAATTTCTATGATGGTACCACGTCCTGGCCTACCAGAACTCCATGGACATAAATTAAATAAATGAACTTTAACTAGACTTTTTATAACTCAGCATGCAGTGTTGTTTTACCTTTCCTTCTTATTGCAGGCTATAAATAGCGACAATACTAAAATACTGTG